GACGCGCTGCGAGCGTGAGTAGAGTAGGATTAGTATTTCCTATTCTCTTCTATCGTCTGAAGGTAGTTGAAATGCCAAGCGCACATAGATGTGGTTCGTGTTCTGTGTGCGTTCTTTCGCGCTCTCCCTACTACCGCCCCATCACTGATACTGCCGTAATGCAGGATGCCAATTCTGGCAGCTCTACGCCTGAGAGATGCGCCCGGAAACAGACGGATTGCGCGGCGTTTACGGCCGCGGAAAGAGAGTCGCCCGGAGATAGACGGATTGCGCGGTGTTCATGGCCGCGGAGAGAGAATCGCCCGGAGACGGGCGGATTGGGTGGCGTTCACGGCCGCCTGAGAGATGCGCCCGGAGACGAGCGGTTTGTGCGGCGTTTACGGCCGCAGAGAATACGATTGGAGTCCATATCTATAAGATCTATGTTTGGTTGGAAAGATGTCACACTTCTCTTGCAACTTGTATTATATTGGGTTGTCGAAAAAGTCATGACGTATTTTTTCTATGTTTTTCAAAGGTCATTTATTTATATAAAGAACAAAGATCAATCAATGATATAGTGCTCGTTTTGTTCGGTAACCTTTTTGCCATCTTTCAGTGAGTTTCATAATTCCTCGTTCATAGGACCTTTATCAGCGAAAAACTGAACAAGGTGCTGATTTACAGCCTCATTTGAATTAAACGTGCAAGGAATTTTGAAGAGAGCGAAACAAGTGGAAGTCTCACGGCGCAAGGTCAGGCGAGTATGGTGTGGCACATCCCACCCAAGCTCCAATAATTTTTGACGGGTGGTCAAACTTGTGTGTGGTCTCGCGTTGTCGTGATGGAAACAACTCCTTTATGATTAATGAGTTCTGAACATTTCTATAATGGATTCGTTCAAACTGTTCAATTGCCGACAGTACATATTCGAATTGATTGTTTGGTTCCTTGGTAGGAGCTCGAAAAACACGACACATTTAAAATTCCACCACACTGAGAGCATAATCTTCCTCTGATGAATATTTGCTTATGATGTCGTTTGAGGCGAATCATCACGTCAGGATCAAGACCATTTGCGCATCACATTGTTGTAAACAATCAACTTCTCACCAGATATCAGTCGCTTCAAAAAAGAATCGTTTTCTTCACGTTTGATGAGCATATTGCAGATGTTTATACGCGCCATCAAATGAACTTCTTTGAGTTCATAAGGAATCCAAATATCGAGCTTGCTTACGTATTCCAGCTTCTTCAGATAGTCGTGAACGCTTGAATGATGTTCAATGTTTCTGCAATCTCTCGTGTCGTGTAACGTTGACTCGATCAATGCCTTTATTTTGTCGTCATCAATCTCCGTGGGACCTCCCTGACTGAGCAGCATCGTTGAGATCAAAATCACCAGCACGAAATTTCGTGAACCATCGTTGGCACTGATGTTCTTGTAGAGCATTGTCACCGTAAACTTTACGCAATTTTTCACAAACTTGACTCGCGTTCTTCCCTTTATGGAAGTAAAACAATAATATATGGCAAAAATGCACAGTTTTCCATCTTCAACTTGTTGTAAATCTCCAAAATTCAACCAAATTGCTCAATTTTTTTGACATAGCAATAACATAAAATGACTCTAATACTAAAAATGAACTAGCGCCATCTGTTATAAAAATGCGTCATGACTTTTCCGACAACCCAATAATTACATATTGCTTTTCCGTGAATATGCCATTAGAACAAAAGATTCGTGAAAGCAGCATCATTATCGATATATAAACATCTCCTGAAACTGTTGCAGATCAAATATCTCATTGCAGAGAAGTTTGCATGTTTGCATTAGATACAGAATTCGAACATGAAAAATTAATTAACAGGCCAAACGAAATAATAGAGATCGACGAGTATAAAATAGGTCGTCGCAAATATAAGAGATGACGTATCGCAGAAGGATCCTGGATTCTCGGAATGATTCATCGGATATCCAATCAATTATCGTCTAGAAATTTGTCCAGAAAACAAAAGAGACAAAAATACTTTAATTATTACATTAATAAAAAAACATGTAGCACTGAAATACATATAAATTCTTGGAAAGGCTACATTAATCTCAATAATCACGGATACATTCAGTGAAGTAATCATGATAACACAGTGAATCATTCTAAAGAATTTGTTAATTCTGAAACTGACGCACCCAAACTGACACCCAAAATATCGAATCATCTTGGTGCTGGATGCGCCGCCAATTATTGTGGTGGTATGCATTCAGCTCAATTAGACGATCATATGTGCGAATTTATGTCGCGTACACAAATTAAATATAGATCCATTCGATCAAATGTTAAAAGATATTAAAACATTTTACTCAGGCAATTAATTAATATTATTAAGTTCAAAATAAACAAAATAAATAATAATTAAGTTTAACAATTAATTAAATAAATATTATATTACATTTATTAGAGATCTATGAATATTATTTAAACCCTCCCTCGCCCACATGTCTACTATCTACACATGCATTGCAAAAAATTAGTATCGTTATATACGCGATTACAATTATTAAATATTTTATTCTTTATAATAATAATTCTTATTCTTTATAGTTTATAATAATTCTTTATTCTTTATAGTTTTTTTAGCGTAATATTTGTAGCTCTTTTAATAGCAAAAAATTAAATAACTAACTTCGCGAATGTAGCTTAACATTTTTCCCTCTAAAGTACAAGAATAGAGTAAATATTATTACTTTAAACGACAGTTGTAGTTAATACTCGAATAACATTAATATTCGATTTTCACAATTATATGTAATTTCAAGAAAAAAATTTTAACAATTATCACTTTTTTACACTTTTTATATTAAACACGGTACGACCAAGAATTCTCGATAGTTCTAGCAAAATTTCATACTCATGTTTTACAAAGAGTGGTTGCATATTTTTTAATAATTTTTTAATCTTTGAATCTTGCGTGATTTCATGAAAGAAATGTAGTTAGATTTTGCAAATAATTTTTATGGAAAGCAATTTCGTGTCTTCTTTGCACCAATTAGTTCATCTCATTCTCTGTATAAAAGTATTGAAGTACAGTTACCAGAAAAATATGAGATATTTTATATTTCATTTTAAAATTGTGCGACACTAAAGTTTACTTTTCCATAAATTTTTTATAACCATACTTTATAACTATGAATACTCGATTGCTTTTATGTGTAAAATAATTAGAAAATGAATGTAAAGCGAAAAATTTAGTTAAAACTGCGATAAATAATCAGCGCATACTATTCTTCCGAGTATCGTGTTTAATATGAAGAGTGTAAAAAAGTGGCAATTGTTAAAATTTTTTTCTTGAAATTACATATAATGATAAAAATCGAAAATTAATGTTATTCAAGTATTAATTATAACTGTCGTTTAAAGTGATAATATTTACTCTATTCTTATACTTTAGAGAGAAAAATGTTAGGCTACATTCGCGAAGTTAGTACATTATTTAATTTAATTTTTGCTATTAAAAAAGCTATAAAATATCGCGCTTCTGCGGCAGTCACTCGCACAACACACACTCACGCGACACGCGTAAATAAATAGAGGCCATGCTCGAAATTATGAGTTATAGAAATTAAAGAAGTATGGAATGAATTGATTGAATACAAAATCCATGCATATATAGGGTGAAGAAAAAAGGTCGGTACCCCTAAATAATTCAGAAAATATAAGTTTTATAGAAAAAAATATCAATGAATCAATTGATGTAAAGAAAACACAAGTAAAAAAAATATGCAGCACCATGTTGCAAATTACATAGATGTTTTTTTTTAAACAACTTGTGTTTTTTTACATCAATTGATTCATCTCATTATTTTATATATAAAAGTATTAAGGTAAGATCATCGAAAACTGAATATTTTACAAGACATTATATATTTCATATCAAAATACTATAACTTTCAAGCTTCAACTCGAAAAGTATTTAATGAAGAAATATTTTTTAAAGTTTTGAAAAGCTCTTGACACCAGCTATTAGATTTTGAAATAAAAATAGTTCTATTTAAAAAAAATCGATGTAACTTTGACCTGACCCTGGCGATGCCACACAAGGTCAAACTGATAAGATTAGTAAATAAATCTTTTTAAGCCCTATAACTTTTATCTGAAACATTTTTTTATAAAACTCATATTTTCCGAGTTATTCAGGAGTTTTCCAACCTTTTTTTCCTCACCCTGTATATACAGGGTGTCCGTAGCATGTGTAACACTGCTCGTGAGAAGGTAGACGGAAACGAGATAAATGAAAATGTCTTATATCATTTTGCGATATTCGCAATAATTTTCGAGTTATTAAAAATTAAAGTTGCACAAATAAGAGCGCACAGGGAGAAAGCGTTCACCCATAGAACGGCGCAACGTGACGACGTTGGCCGCCCGGCGCTCGGCGGTGGGTGGAACACGCGCGACAAGAGGAAGGATGATTCACTGCTCACGCTTCTTATCAAGCCGAGACTCGCGTCAACGTTATACACGTGATTACAATTAAATATTTTATCCTTTATAATATTTATAGCTGTGTTAATAGCGTAATATTTATAGCTTTTTAATAGCAAAAAATCAAATTAAATAATGTACTAACTTCGCGAATCTAGCATGACTATTTCCCATTTTAAAGTACAAGAATACAATAAATATTATCATTTTTAATAACAATTCCAATTAGTACTATTCAAATCCCATTATTATGTGTAATTTTAAAAATAAATGTAAACTGCTTGTTTTTCACACTTTTAATTACGGTACGATTGGAGAAAAAGTGTTGTGCTGATTATTTATCGCAATTCTAACAGAATTTTTCGTTTCTACAATCATCCTCTAATTATTTTGCACATAAAAGCAATCGAGTATTCATGGTTATAAAGTATGATTATAAAAAAATTTATGGAAAAGTAAACTTTAGTGTCGCACAACTTTAAAATGAAATATAAAATATCTCGTGTTTTTCTGGTAACTGTACTTCAATATTTTTGTACAGAGAATAATTAGATAAACCAATTAGTGCAAAGAAGACACGAAATTGCTTTTCATAAAAATGATTTGCAAAATCTAATTACATATTTCTTTCATGAAATCATACAGGATTCAGAGATTAAAAAGTTATTAAAAAATATGCGACTAGTGGAATTCTTCTTAAAACATGAGTATGAAATTCTGCTAGAATTACCGAGAATTATTGCTAGAATTGCGATAAATAATCAACATGATACTATTTTTTCGAGTGTCCGTATTTAATATGAAAAGTGTAAAAAAGAATAAAAAAATTTAAATTTTTAATTGAAATTATACATGGTGAGAATCGAATATTAATATTATTCGAGTATTAACTACAACTGTCATTTAAAGTGATAATATTTATTCTATTCTTGTACTTTAGAGAAAAAGATGTTAGACTACATTCGCGAAGTTAGTACATTATTTAATTTGATTTTTTACTATTTAAAAGGCTATAAATATTACATTATTAATAAAGCTATAAATATTATAAAGAATAAAATATTTAATAATTGTAATCACGTGTATAACGTTGACGTGAGCGTGATAAGAAGCGTGAGCGATGGCTCATCCTTCTTCTCGCCGCGCGTGCTCCACCCACCGCCGAGCGCCGGGCGGCCAATGTCGTCACGTTGCGCCGTTTTATGGGTGAACGCTTTCTCCCTGTGCGCTTTTATTTGTACAACTTTAATATTTAATGACTCGAAAATTATTGCGAATATCGCAAAATGGTATGAAATATTTTCATTTATCTCGCTCCTGTCTATTTTCTCACGAGTGGTGTTATACATACTATGGGACTTCTTGTATATACATAAAAGCACAACTTGTTGATGATAGCGTGTACGAAATTGAACTGCACATGTGCGAGCTAAGTAAATAACCAATCATAGATCTGTTCTTTGTTGCTGGAACGACATTTCTGTCAGACGTCTGGTATTCCAATTTTCATTGTTTATAGACATTTAAATGTGATAAAGAGAGCTATAGAAAATATGCAAGAGAAAATATGACAGAAAATCAGCTACGTGATTATCTATTTAGCTCGCGCATATGCAATTAAATTTCGTACACTCTCGCTGAAATCGAGAGTTGCGCTACTGTATACACTGTGATTATACGCATTCACATTTACCAGAAGTACGGCGAGACATTTAGATGTGAAATCTAGAAATGACAAAACATTTCCTTATAGTGCACATCTCGTCCTAAGGCTATGTTCGAAGACATCATCCGAGTATTTTAATTCGGTTAATATTCGGTGAATAACAAAAATAAAATGATATTTGAGGCATTCAGGTAATATTTATAATATTATCCGAACGTACTCCTACACTGAGAGAAAAATTTCTTTAAATAAAAGAAATACATTTTCTTAAAAATCAGATCTTTAGATGCAAATAATTATTTG